TTCATTCACTCAGGTTACCTATGAATTTATCTGATTTACTGTAGGCTTCACTTTGTTGGATTTCACTGCAGTCCTCTTTCTGCACCATCACCAGATAGAAAGCTCTATAATATTTATCCTCTCCAGGGAGGACAGCTAAGTGCATGTGCACAGCTACTTCTTCTCTTTCTGTCTTGCAGGGCACGCTGACATTTACTCGATATGGCTATGTTGTTTTTCCAGCGGTTTAGGTATAGTGACAACCGTGAGCTTGGGTTTTTGTTGCAGAGGGAAGGGGAGGCGAGGAAAAAGAGATTACAGAGAAAAGGGAAAAAGTCTGAGGCAGAAAATTTCAGAGAAACCTTCCTAAACAGTAACATCAAATGCTTATTTGACTTTTTATTTACTTGAAATCTTCAGTCACATAAATTGAACTTAATGGGCGAGTATAGTGTTACTAACATTAACTAAAAAAGTAACAATACAAATTCAGGCCATGTAACTGTTGGGTGAATTCTTCCTATGTGTTGAAAGAAGGGTATAGGGAGAAATGGGGGAGGGGATTGGGAGGGGAAAGGGGGGGAGAACATTTTTCATTCTGTGTTATCTTGTGAGGCATTTCAAGGACAGGGGTTTTAATGAGTGCACACTGGAAAGGCCAATGATTTTAGGATGCTGAAGGATGACCACCAAACATACTGCTGCATCTGCTAAAAAAAAAAGAACCATACTGAAACAATGTAGCCACAAAAATGAGCCAGCAGTTTTTTAAACATCACTTTCTATCTTTGTAAGAAGTTTAAAGAGAAATAAGTGAATGACAAAAGAAGCCCTCTGGATAAATATACAGAGAATACATTTCTATCATCAGTCTTTCCCCTTGAACCCACATGTGTAAAAGCTCAGTTGGCTGTGGGTTTGATTCCCAGTGGGGCCATGGAAACAAACATGTATTCTTCCCCCTCCCTCTCCTTTGTTAGCAGCCTTAGAGAAGAGCACCAAATGGCATCTTTTATATCCGTGGTCACATCTGCTCCTCACCAAGAGAAACCATTGCATGTATTTTCCATTCATCGTGTGTGTGTGTAACACAAAGAGTGAGAACATGAGAAAACTAACGATGAATGTGGTGTATTTACCTGGGAATTCTTATTAGATTCCCAATGTGCATCTAAAATATTTATGATTTATTTAATGTCCAGCACACTGCTCTATACATCATTACCAACACGAGCTTTTATATTTCTAATGCCTGTTGTGATGCGTATAATCCCTGGTCACTTTATTAGGTACACCTGGCAAGTGCTTAATAACATGAAGAATTAAGAGCTGCCTTAATTCTTCACTGTGGAGGTTCAGCAAGGTGCTGGACACATTCCTGAAAGACTTAATGAGGTCCACGTTTGCATAATAGCATCGCACAGTGATGCATAGATCAGC